CCCACACTGTGCTATCGGAACGTTATTTCCAGTGCTCAAAGGGTATGCCCTCGAATGTATTTTTAGAAAGGTTATTTCAGTTTCAATAAAGTTCTTTTGAACTTGCAGGGGCAATGCGTGCCAAGCGTACTGTTGTTTTTACACATAGGTTATGATATCCTGGGGCCTTTTGTTGAAACAAGCCAGCTAATTTCTGTTAGAAACCTTTTTTTTTTTTTTTTTTTTTTGTTTGACTCACACTTCATTCTCCTTCTAAGAAAGGACCACGAACTATGCCCGTTTAGATTATGGCTACACATGTGTCATATATAAATTGCATATATATGCATTGTATTTAGGGCTGACTTTACCGGTAAGTGTACCAGTTTCAGAAAGAATATTATTCATTTCCATTTCCAATGCATAGATACACCGATTGATAGATAATACTGTCACATTGTGAAGTCTCACATAGACTAACTCAAACTAAAATAGAAAAAGAGATATATTAAAACTTAATCATAATGTAATCCACTACATAAACAAATGTTTAAAAAAAAAAATCAAGCAGAATTCTTTGTAAAAGGTAAATTACTATTAGTTTTTCATTTGATACATGCTACTACTGTGAAAGATAAAGGACAAGCTGCTAGGTGTTGATCAGAGACATCTTGTTTCCCATTTAATAGTAAGCATTTCAAGTACTACCACCGCCAAGAAAAAAAAAGAAAACAACCTCATTATTCATTTGAACTTAAATTCTTTATGCTTATTTGCCTGTTTTTACCTCTGCAAGCTCCCACTGCTTCAAGAAAATTAATTAGACCAACTAAGTCATTATGAACTTTTCATTCTGGGAAAACCTAGGAGCTCACACTGAAGTTGTTCTCTGCCAAAACACAGGCCAGGATGTTGAGTGCACATATTGCACGTGCAGGTAATCGGTCTTCAGTGCATAACCAAAAAGTCCACACTCTCTGCTCTCTTATTTCATCTAGAACTGTAAGAAGTTTGTCCATAATGCCTTGTTTGCTGAAGCATGAAACCACGCTACATATACCATGCAAGGTTCCCCCGCTATTACATTGATATTACTACCTTAACACTCCAAACCACTGAGCACGTAATTATTTCTACAACTAGTTTTCAACCTTCCTTTCATTCTACAGCGCCACCTTCCAAAGGTACAAGCATGCTGCAGCAGTTAATACCCATTTCAGTAAGTCCGGTGACTTATCTAAAGACGAGAAGTCATCTTTGCCTCTTTGAAAAATGTATTCTTATAACTCCTTTTGAATTACCTAAAGAGACACTCAGAATTACAGCCGAGATATCACAGGATGCACATGGCATCAAAATTGGAGTACCCAAGTTAAACATTTCCTCAAGTTTTACTTATCAGGTAAGTCGGGGAAGAAACAATTTAGCCAGGGAGCTTCTTGATCTCTGCTGGGAATTCTCATTTCAAGTTCCTCCTGACTTTTCATTTAGAGTGGAACAGATTTTCTTAGCTGTAGAATTAAAGCATTTTAAAGAGTGTAAGCCATTTACAGACTTCTATAAGATAAATCTTTGGCCTCATTCATCTCCTCTACAGATAACAGAGCTGAGACCTTTACATAAGTATTATTATTTGGTATTCCCTTTACAGTAGAAAAAACAGTAAGTGCTGAAGAAGAAATACTCTATTTTGAATTTTTTTTTTTTTTTTTTTTAAGTAGAGAAACAGGCAAATGGTTTAGGAGACAGAGCTACATAGGTGAGAAACAACAAATTCCTAAGATTATCTAGTATTTTTATGAAGTTGATAAATCTGCACAAATAGAATTTTCTGCATATTTGGAAAAAATTGTCAGCAAAGAGACTGTATGTAGCCCTGGTATATCCTAGAAAACTCCCTAAGGAAATTTATTCCTTCCTACAGCAGTACATATCTCGGAGCCACAGAATCATGTAATTGTGAAGATGTAATTTAACTGTCTCTTGCTGGCAGATGGTCTTGGTCTTTCCTTACTGTTCTCCACCTGAAAAAGATGCTAATGCCAACACATTTCTGGATACATTTGAAATAATTTTTTGGTTTTGGCTTTTTTTACCCTTGCTTCTTGCATAATAGTCAGTAAGCTCCGTAGAGGCCTGTAAGGAGCAGAAAAAGGTAGAAATCCAAGTAAAAAGAACAATCCACAGAAAAAGAGCGAAAGCTAATTACATAACAGATGCCGGTAGAAGACAATTTTAGAGATCCACAATACAAGCAGGTTCCCATGAGCTTGAGCAGAGCAGCTTTTCTCTCTCCCTGCCCCAGGAGTGAAGAGCCAGCCCTCTGCTCCAAAACAGCGGGTGTGCCTTTGCAGGAGAAAGTTTCACGCTTTTAGCAACTGCAGTCCTCCCGTAACTATGAAGAATTTTATATGTGTGTGTATTTGCCATAACACATCGCACCTACTCTCCCTGTTGCATTACACTCCACACTGCAACAGGTCTTCAGAAGAACTGGCTCCAAAGGAAAAGCACAGGGATGCAAATGCAAGGAGAAGCAGCTAACCGTGCACTCCTGCAAGACAGCCCCTAAAGCAGGGATTTATCAGCTGGCTGCGCTCCCCTCCTGCCCTGCAGCCAAGGCTGCCCCAGCACTGGGGGTGCTCCCAGCTTTGATGTGCCATGGAAGTCACCCACGGCCTTGCAACCCCCTCTCCTAATTTCCACAGTGGTTGCTGTCTACCCCGTCACTGAAAGTTGTGCAGGACAGAAAAGCACGCTGATTTAATAATTATGTATGATATGCAGAGACCTCTTCCCTCCAGCAGAAAGCGGGGGGGGGAAGCAGAGGGGGATGAGAGAGAAGATGTGTCAGACTAATTTACATGCAAATACTATGCCTCAGTTCCAAAGTACATTAAAAGAAAAAGCAGTTGCCCTAAAATAATTTATGGCCAGCAATGTTTTATTACCCTTGTACACTTACCACTAAGTTTTGAAATGCTGGCCTACTGATAACGAAGGCTTGTTATCTGGAAATCCTGGCAACCCAGCCTCTTGGGATGGGAGCCACTGTAAGCCGCTTGGTTTAGGAAAAGGAAAAAAAAAAAATTACTTAACGTCGTAACTGTTTGCAGAGCTGTTCTGTGCAGACATTCTGCAAGACAGGATGACAAAAGTATTTTGCAGCCTCTTCTGATCTAAACCCGCTAAATAATAACTGGATCTAGAGCCCAAGCCAAGCCCGCAGCTATGGGAAAAATCTGATGCATAAGGCAGCAGAAATACCCAAGCAACTGTGCTCGGACGTATTTCTGCCTACATGAATAAAGTATCCACCTTGTTGACCTGTCAGTCTAGCTAATCCACCCTCTATTTTCAGTTATTATCATTAAAGTTCGGTGCTTGAGAGCCTGGAGGGAGCGGCGAGCGTCCCATCCCCTTTTTCCACGGGGCGGTAACCAGATGTCAATGGCCGCAGCTGTGACTACATAATTACCTGTTTGCATGAACGCGGACCGCAGTTTAGATTTAATAGGTCAGACGACAATGCAGCAAAACGCATTTAGCCCACGATTACCCCTTTTCAAACATTCTCTCGCTCGCAACTTCGACCCTGGGAACATTGCGGGCACAGACTCGGGTCAATAAGAAACATTGGCCGGCACAATGGGGCTGGCCTCAAACAGCGCTGTTGACAGACACCGGCACAAAGGCGGTGAATAGAGTCCCCCTCAGTTCTCACACAGAGCGAAGAATGAGTCAGTGTACTGCCGCTTTGGTGCTCTGTTTGTACAGTGTATACAGCTTTTGTCGGCTTCTCGCTTCTGACCTCGGGCGAAGCCTGCGCGCGATGCCTCCGCTGCAGAGACAGCGCGATAGTTTTAAAGAATGTATTTTATCTCCTTCAAAAACAAAAACACAGCAACACCCACCCCCCCCGCCCCTCCTCACCCTTCCCTCCCACCATGACCCAATTCACAGCTGCAACTTTGACCAAGAAGAAAAAGTGAGCACGGGATATGGGATTACAATAGTCCTACCTCCCTTCAAAAGGTCCATCAAAGACAACAACAACGTAGTCATCATTTTAAATCCCCAGTGCAAAGACTTTAAAAGGAACTGAGAGTGTAATGAAAGACAACCACAGCTATACATCTGTATTTCACACATTTGTATTGCCCAAATAAAGGGTCAGGGAAAATTTATCATACATGTAATATTGCATATGCACCTCTATATTAGCTACCTATTAGCAAATTAAAAAACCCATTTCCTATAGTTACTGCTATTCTTCAAATAATTATTTTTGTCAACTTTCCCTTTATAGAAACCATACTTCTTTTCCTTACAACACCATCCTTATAAACATCTCTAAAGAAAGAGAAATAGCCCTCTGGCACAAAGTCAAAACTGTTACCTTCACCTGCTTCATATACCAGAGTATAAAACAAAATATGCGTAGTTTCTTCTCAGGAGTGCTTGCAAAAGGTGTTTAGACTTCAGTATGATCAGCATGAAGCTTCAGCTATAAGGGAGTTAGCAAGAGCTCTAACTCATGCAGACCGCACTACAGATAAAGTCATATATGATAAAGTCGGAGTGAAAGAACTGATTAACATGTTTTAAGACTATGAACTGGTTAAAAAAGGGAAGAAGAAAAAAATGCATTTTGAATTAAATCTCTGAATTTCAATGAATAGAAGACAAGGTATATTCTCCATTTTATCACTAATAGCCAAGATAGTATTAGCATGCTGTTTACTGCCCTTTCAATTTTATTTTTTAAGCTCAAAGTACTGGAACATCATTCTTACATGAACCAGCTACAGAAGAAAGCCCCAAAATACTAACAACAAAAAAACCCCAATGTGTCTAATGCCAGGAAAAAAAAAATAAATCCCACAAATGTAAATTTTCATTATGTGTGAGCTAGTCTGGGGAGTCTGAAGCCATGACTTTCATTCTTGGCAAACAAATTGTGAGCAAGTAACATGAAAGATGTGAAGATTGTCACCTTATTCTCAGTTACTTTATTTTGAAACAGCACAAGAATTTCTACTTTTTATATTTACATATTTTTTATATTTACATATGGCCTTATTTAAAAAAAGCAGGCCTGCCTGCTTTGAACACTGGCTATAAGACATATGACTGCATTTGAGGATACCAGCACTGAGTATGTAAAGTAGGCAAACATTTGTACGAATGCCCAGGGATGCCTACAAGCCTACCAAGGACCTGATCAATCACAATCCTGAACGGACAGTTTTTAATTCACTTTAGAGGGGGAAAATCCTCACCTTTCAACTACTATTAGGGTTATTACATACCCTGCCACAGGAATACTCATAGATCGAGGCTGATCAAAGCTGGAAGAATTAACATCTAGTACGTTTTGTTTTTTTTTTTAATAATGAATGGGAAATCCTCAGCAGAGAGAGAGCTTCCAAGTCTGCATTCTGATGAAAGAAGAAAATGGAGAAATAAACGCTGCTCTACCAATTCCTTCAACAGTGTGATCTAAATCACTGCAGAACTCTTTCTTTTTTATATTTTTTAAGTGTAAATCACTGCTTAGCAAGCTAAACCTAGCCTAACCTACTCCAGCCATACATTATTCCTTTCCACTGGCTTACTATAATTTAGTTTTAGCTACATGCACCACCGGTGTGTACACCAGGCCAAAGCGTAGCACAGTCTTAATACATCTTGCAGAAGCAGAGGAATATTTCACAAACCTTCATGTTACGTTGTATTTGCTGCCACGCATCACCGCTGCTCCACATCCCCCCCAGGCTGGCAGCGGTGTCAGCCCTGCCTCCTGCCAGGCAAAGGATCGCAGTTTGTTTACCAAGCTCGGTCTGGAGGACGCAGAGCGCGTTTCAGTCTCCTCTCCAGCAGCCCTGTCAAGCCAGCTGCCAAGAAGAGTCTTGAAAGGCTTAGGAGGGAGCAAAATCCAGTACTTAGGTGGTAAGTAGACTGGTCTGGCACCGGGCACCCAAAGATGAGTGAGGGGAAGTAGGCACTACCCAACCTGAAAGATTAAAACACCTTTAGGTAGCTTCAAATGTAACTTCATAGAAAAAGAAGTAACTGAACTCCCTAAATGGAGGGCAGATTAGCAATCAACTTATAATTACCACCCAGATTAAGATCTCTACCTGAATACTTGAAGTTAACGAGTACAAATTGCAAATAAATTAAACTTGTATGCTGCTCACGTTTCCTTACAATGTATGGAAAAGACCTAAAAAGTTTAACTGGGATTTCACGTTGTAGAGCATCATAGTTTTAATATTCTAATTTTTTTAATTAAGACTCCAATACTTCCAGAAGATTTCAGAAGCATCAAACATTTCTATGAAGACATGCTGCATGTAGGTTTATACCAACCGTGAAACTGGTTCACAGGATCTCATTGCCTTTGGAAGAGCCCACTAACTACTATGAAAATGAAGAACAAGAGGTTTCACAGAGAACAAACAAGCAATCCTTCGTTCCTTCTAATAAAATCATGAATCAAAGAAAAATTGCTTATGCCCTTTTCCTCTTACCCCACTAATGCGAAGTCAGCAAACACTAATAAGTGACAGGTATTTTTCATCATATCCAATGGTTCTCTCCCTGCCTTTAGAGTCGTATCTCAGTTTCTCGGTTAAGTGGGTAGATGCTCACGCAGTGTGACTACATGATGTTCACTCTTCCATGTGATCAGAGACTGCCAAGTCTCAAAGCAGTTCATTTAAAACAGAGCTTCAGTATTTTTCAGAACAATTCCTTCAGAATCTGGAGGACTGGAGGGGTGGTGTTACTTCTCACCCAGGCTGGGGGCTGGATTTTGAGTTCTTTAGATAAAAAATAAATTGTTGTAAAATGCTAAGACAGAAAACCAGAAAATTTGCCAGCTATCACAAAAGGAAAAAGAGCTTTGCTTTTGTTAAAAAAAAAAAAAACAAGCAAACCTCCATGACTGACTGTCGTCATACTTCATAATTCAGTGCCCATAAATCATGGCTACATTCAGCAAATTCACGAAGCAACTGACACTCGCCTCCCTGCTTGGCTGCTATCATGCCTAAAATGCCGACAGCCATGGCAGCAGTGACCACACACAGACTCCAAAATTTATTAAGGCAAGTTTTAACAGCTACTGA